GGAGGAATACATCAGGCCTATTGTGTGATAGAAAAGTATCACGTATACTTAAGGAAAATTTTATAAGATGGTGGTGAGACCTGCAATTCTTTATGAAGCAACATGTTGGCCTATAAAAGAGAAGCATAAAATTAAGTTGAGTGTTGCTGGAGTGTTGCTGAGATGAGAATGCTGAGAATGCTCTGGTGGATGAGTGGTTTTACCCATAGAGACAAAATGCGAAATGAATATATCTGTGAAAGGATTGGAGTAGCTCCAGTGGCAGACAAGATTAGAGAGTCTCCTTAGATGGTTTGGTCACATTAAACATCGACCATCTGATGGCTTTGTTAGGGGAGTAGATGTTTTAGATTCGACTTATGCTTAGAAAAGTAGGGGTTGTCCATTAGAATTAAATGAAAATAAGACACTCAATAGGACACGATGGAGAAAAAGGATTCATGTAGCCAACACTACTTAGTGGGATAAAGGCTTGTTGTTTTTTATTATTGCTATCATTGTTGTATTATTCAAATCCAAGTGTTTTTCAATAAAAGAATCACCATTTGTAAGTGGAGTGCAGTAGTAATGATAATGTTAGGGTGTATGATGTTAAAGCAAAGAATGACAAGTTGAGAAATGACTATAATAGAAAGATGGTGAGGTTATAACCTATGAAAATAAAATGCCATAAAATAAAGCTGGTGGCATTGGCACATATGGTGAAAATTTACAATATGTCACTTAAAACAAAAATTTAAACATTTAATTTTTTGGTTTCTACTTGAATTAATCATCTTTATAGCAGGCATTGGCGCTTTTGATTTATGAATTTGTTAAAACTAAGGACTAAGATATGAAATTATTGAATAAGAAGGAAGCATTTTGGTGCTGATTTTTAAGAATAAATAAATCCTTTAGAGTTGCCCTAAATATATCAAATCCAATTTATGAGTTATGAAAGTAAGTTATAAGATATGGTGTTGGAGAATGATCATTCAAATCATGTGATTATTATAGGAATTAATTTGATTTTTTTTTGTTTCAAAGATCTAATCACAAATACATTCTGTACTAGAATAGTTTTTGAAATATATAAAACATAATGAAATATCTTTGTATGGCCTTTACTGCTCTTAATAAGGCATATGGCCGGTGTCCCACGAGAGTTGGTTTAATCCATGTAAGAAAAAAAAGTGATATCATATTTATTCAATTTTTTGCTCTTTTTGAGAAACTAGTCGAACACCTAATTACATACAAAATTGGAACCACCAAATCATGTTGAGTTTATTATAATTAAGAGAAATAAGCCTTTTTTGGTAATGATTGAATGTTAATTTCAAAAAAGCGTTTGATTGCATAATATATAGTAATATATATATAATAACACACACACACACACACACACACATATGCATATATAAGTGCACAAAGTAAATAATCAAAAGAAATATTTTCTTAACAACGTATGGTGAAATTCAAATGGTAAGAAATTATTGATATTTTAATTTAAGTTGCGATAGATAAATTTAAATTCTTTTTTGTTGAGCCAAATTTAATATATAATAAGATGACTTGCCTTACTAAGCCTATCGTGGAAGTTTTAGTAAGTTTAGAAGTAAATCATACATAAATAAGGACATCTGTTGGTGGGTTGAAGATGTACAAAGTGTTATTAAGAACAAAATAGTTCTTTGAAAGAGTGAAAAATTTTAATACTCTTCAAGCTTGTAATAATTAAGAAAAAAATAGAATAATTATAACAAAATTAGGAGTTTTATAAAGGGTGTAATGAGCAAAGCAAAAGCTATTAGTTTTGATGATTTAAGAAGTTTGTCTTAGAAAATTTTATAGAGCCTAGAGATAGATCGTCCACGAATAAAAAAACTTATTGGTGGGGTGAGGAGATACAAAATGTTGATAAGGAAAAAAATTGCTTTCAAGGAGTGGCAAAAGTGAAATACTTTTATGTCCTATAGTAGTTATAAGAAAGAAGTCTTGCGAAGAATATAATGAAGCAAAATTTATAAAATTTAATTATTTATTTAAAAGAAAAGATAAGAGATATAAATACTTTTATCAAAGTAAATTCATGAAAAACGAGGATAACATGATCTTAATTAAAGATGAAGGTATTGATAGAAGGTAAATAATGCTTTAAGAAATTACTAAATGAGAACTTAAAGGAAGAAATCATTTTGGAAGAGCAAAATGATCTTAATAAGATTTTGAACCAAAATGTGTCGTGAAGTTAACTTGTGAAGATGCAAAAGGTATATATTTAGGTTTAAACAACATTTATTGAAATTTGGAGAGTAAAGATGGAAACTTTAGTGATTTGATTAATAAATATTTTTTTTAATTATTTGGGTTCCATTATTTTAATACAAAGGATATATTCAAGATTGTGATTGTGCTAAATGAATCAAATTTATGAGACATGCAATAAAGCTATGGTATAGTAATGGAACATATAAATCATCTTTAGATAATCAATTTGATTTCTTGCCTGGAAGATTTCTTATTAAAGCAATATTTGTGTTCAAGGAACCAATAAACGAATGTAGCGAGCACAGAAATGATCTGTGTATTTTTAATGTCTAAAACATGCATATATAATCAATTATTTTGAAAATTAATTTGGTGCGCACTAATGAAGAAAGGTGTGTAAATTTTATGGTGAAGTTTGATGGGAACTGTTTAGTATAATGCAGTAGAATTACAGTAAGCATCACCATTGAGTTTATTTGTTTTTGTATTGATAATGAGGTTATCCACAAAGTATAGTCAATGTGATATGTCTTGTATATTTTCTTTAGTGGATTTTCTAATTTGTGCAACAGTCGTTGAAATAAATACTAGTTAGAATGATGGAAAATATTTAAAATATAGATGGCTCATATTTAGTACAACAGTCAGTAATCCAAAAAAAATGTAGTTTTAGTTAGTGTAGTATTGACAATTATCAATCAATATTATTAAAAGATGAGGTGATTTAAGCTTTGAATTGTTTAAATATCTTGAATCTATTTTATAGAAGAATTGTAATATGTGCGAATACTATTATATTTTGCACTAAAAGATCATGAAATTTAAAGGTAAATTTTATAAAGTGGAAATTAGGCTAATCATTTTGTTTATTTGAGTGTTGGGCAGTTAAAATATTTTTAATATCTAAATTGAGTGAGATAGAAATTAGAATGTTAAGATGAATGCGCACCAAAATTAGGATGAATAAATTGGAATGATTATGTTGAAGGAATTTTTGGATTAATAGTTATTGAAGTTAATGATTGAAAATAGTCAATAGGTGATTTGGACATTGTATTGTAGTGCACCCATTAGACAGGTAGATGAAGTTAGTGTTGGAGAAGTATGAAGAGGGTATGGACTTAAGCTAACATAGATATGAAGTTCAAAACGATTTGTTATGAATAGATTTAACACCTTAGATAACATCCCACATGAATGAAAATTAGAATTTATAAAGATAACAACAAATCATTGGGATAAGGTTTGTGATGATATGGATGATCGATTCCATATAAAATAGTAAAAATCTAGATAAGGACATAACTTATATAGTTACCAATGTTTGATGAAGCATGGATATCACACATGCTTGAAAAAATGAGAATATAACTGATAATATAACCATCGAATTTAAAGTTGCGAGGTTAAAATGAATAAGTGTATTAAGAATATTATATCATAAAAATATCCTCTGTAAATTTCTAACAGTTTTAATTTGAGTAGCAATGCCATTTGAATACTTATGTGGTACTAAATAATTGGATAAGAAGCATTTTGTTATTTTTATTTAAGAATAAATGTGCAGTTTAATGCTATGGTAATTACACTTATGAATTCTGCAACGAAGTTACAAGTTAGTAATGAATTTTTTATAAGATGAAGTTATGAAGATGCTATGCTATTTGTTGATGATGTAATGCTGATAAGTGTGCCGTTTTTTGAAGTAATTTAAAGGTTGGATGAATAAAGAACACTTTTAGAAGAAAAAGGTTTAAGGTTATTGGAATACATGCTAATATGCTAGTGTTCAATTTTACAAGTAGTCGTCAGATGAAGGGCAGTTGCCTCTTATTTGTGATAGGTTCAGCGGATTTGTTATTCAAAATCACATGTATATATATATTAGGGTATTAAATTTGACACATACCTTTGGAATTCTACCTAACATGAATATAAAAGAGATAAAATTTGAAAATATAATTGGGTTCATAATTTTGTAAGTTAAAGCTAAGCAAGTCAATTGGAGAAATTTATTGAAAGTATTGTGACATATGAGGATCATGAAGTTTTAAGAGTAAATTTCATAGAGTCACAATTAGAGCGGCTATATCAATTGAATCGGTGTGTCAAGTGCTTGCCAACCATAAAGTTATTGACTATCAAGTTGAGTGTGTTAGACATGATAATGTAAAAGTAAAATTATAGGGTTATAAATGGCTATATATTAGAAAGACTGCTAGTGTATAACCTATGAAAATAAGATGATAGAAAATAGGGTAGGATGGTTTTGAAATGTGTTATGAAAGTTAGAACCTTCACTAGAAAGGTAATCAATTGAATTAATATGGAATTTTAGAGAGGAAAAGAGACTAAAGTTAGCATGACTAAAAATTGTGCAAAAGGATTTATGCTAATTTTAGTTAAAACCTTATTTGAATGGAATGTCTGAGTATGCCTTATTCTAATGATCAAAACCACCATGTTTCAAAGACTGAAGTTTCAGCTTCTCTGTCAATAATGCCTTAAAATCATAGTAGGATAGTTTTTGTATAATTAGCATTGAGATAAGAGCTGAGTTTTTTTTTTCTCTCCACTCTAAAGTTCGCATAATAGGATTCATTATGATGATGGTGATGTTCGATCCTACGGCCTTGATAGATTAGAGCCAAGTTCAAGAATATTATTGTTTACTTAACTTTTAAGTTTCTTTATTCCAAAAGGCCTTTGAAAGATGTGCATTTTGATATATCTTAATCCTTTTTCAGGTCCTAGACTCAAATGAAAGCAACCAAACCAAATTTTCAAGCGGACTATCATCTGGCCAGCCTGAGCAGGTTGATTTCCTTTCCTGCTCATTTATTCTTCCCCACCCCCCAACCCCCACTCAGTTTTTTTTTTTTT